AAAATACTGGACTGCAAGGTCAGTGGTTCAGATTCATCAACCGCTCCTCAGAAACCTTATACAGGGTCTCTATAAGTCAGCACTTAACAACAACAACCTGTTAGAATAGCAATAAATAAATTGTTGTTAGTTACCCATGGAATTGCTTCCAACTCATAGACACCCTATGTACAACAGAATAAATAGATAATATCAGTTACTGGCCAGGATGTGAAACAAGTTCAACTCTCATACGTTGCTGCTGATAATGCAAAAATGATACAGCCACTTTGATAAATAGCAGTTTATTGTCAAGTGAACATGCAAGGGAGCTTCAAAAAGTTTGTTGAAAAATTCCATTATTTTTCAATTCTCTTTTTACCTGAAAGTTTTGTAGTCCCCTTGTATACCTGCCTTACAGCCCAGTCACTGTAATCTTGGATGTTTTCCTCAGAGAACTGAAAGCATGCATCTACACAGAGATTTGTAGACAAACAGGTTATTTGTTAATCCCAAGTTGGAAACAACCCAAATCTGCAAAAGCACATTGTAATATATTCATGCAGTGGAAGAGTACTCAACAATTAAATAAATAAATCAACTCTGATACACAAAACAGCATAGATGAGCTTTAGAAACCTATACTGACAGAAAAAAGTCAGACAAAAATGAAATACTCTATGATTCCATTTGTATGAAATGTTGTTGTTGTGAAGTGCTGTCGAATCGGTTCCGACCCATAGCGACCCTGTATAGGGTTTCCGAGGAGCAGCTGGTGAGCTTGAACCACCGACCTTGTAGTTCAGACGGCTTTGCAGTCTGGCGCATTAATCCACAGCACCACATTTGTTGTTGTGAAGTGCCGTTGAGTTGGTTCTGACCCCTAGGGACCCTGCATAGGGTTTCCGAGGAGCAGCTGATGAGCTTGAACCACCGACCTTGCAGTTCAACGGCTTTGCAGTCTGGCACATTAACCCACAGCGCCACATTAGGTGCCATCAAATCAGTACTGACACATTGCGACCCTTTGCACAATAGAATGAAATACTGCCCAGTCCTGGGCCAACCTCACAATTCTTGCTACATTTGACACCACTGATGCTGCTGCTGTGCCAATCCATTTCATTGGGGGTCTTCCTCTTTTTTTCCTAGCCTCCATTTTACCAAACATGATATCCTTCTCCAGTGACTGGTCCCTTTTGACAATATGTCCAAAGTATGAAAGATGAAGTCTGGCCATTCTGGCTTCCATCTATTGACAGCATTGATGTCCCTCATTCCACATCCTCTTCTGAACCTTTGAACGTTTGAAAATTCTATGTCAGTGTATGGTTGCAGCCATTTCTGGATTACCTTTAGTAAAACTTTACTTGGGGCATCAGATATCAATGATATTGTCCGATGATTTCCACATTCCGTTGGGTCACCTCTCTTTGGAATGGACACAAATATGAATCTCTTCCAGTCAGTTGGCCAGGTTTCTTGGCATAAATGAGTGAGTGCCTCCTGTGCCGCCTCACTTTTTTGAAATATTTCAATTTTTACTCCATCAATTCCCAGTCTTTACCAATGACTTCAGTGCACCTTTGACTTCTTCCTTCAGGATCAGTGACTCTTGATTGTATGCTACATCTTGAAATGGTTGAGCACCGGCCATTTCTTTTCGATACAGTGACCCTGTGTATTCCTTCCTTCTTTTGATGCGTTTTTAATCATTCAGTATTTTGCCCATTGTTGTTGCTATTTAGTACTGTCGAGTCGATTCCGACCCATAGTGACGCTGTATAGAATCCTTCAGTACAGCAACTCGAGATTTGGATATTTTCTTCAGTTCCCTTAGCTTGAGAAATGCTGAGGGTGTTCTTTCCTTTTGATTTTTTAACTCCAGGCCTTTGCACATTTTGTTATAATATTTAACTTTGTCTTCTTGAGCTGACCTTTGAAATTCTCTGTTCAGCCCTTATACCTCCTCACTTATTTCATTTGTTTTAGCATCTCTATACTGGAGAGCAACTTTCAGAGTCTCTTCTGGTATTCCTTTGATCTTTTCTTTCTGTCTTGTCTACTCAGTTGCCTTTTGGTCTTGATGTCATTCCACAACTCTTCTGGTTTTGGTCCTTTGTGTCTGATGCAGCAAATCTGTTCTTCAGATGATCTCTCAATTTAGGTGGGATATATTCAAGGTCATATTTTGGCTCTGTGGAGTTGTTTTAAGTTTAAGCTTAAGCCAGAATTTGCATTGGAGCAATTGGTGGTCTGTTCCACAGTCAGCCCCTGGCTTTGGTTTGGCTGATGATTTGGAGCATTTCCACAGATGTAGTCAATTTGATTTCTGTATACTCTGTCTGGTGAGATCCATGTGTATAGTCATCTTTTATGTTGTTTAAAAAAGGTATTTGCCATGAAGAATTCCTTGGTCTTGCAAAATTCGATCATGTGATCACCAGCATCATTTCCATCACCAAATATGACAAACTAACAGTTGAGTGGTGGGTTTGGAATCTAGAAAGGCAAAAATACCTTGCTAGAGGCTGTCAGGATTAGCTGCAGAGGGTCATGAAGCAATGTCTTTGTGGTTGATTTAAATCTTCATGATTGTGCTGGTGGCACTGTAGGATAAGCACTGGACTGCTAACCATACAGTCAGCAGTTCAAACCCACCAGCCACTCCTTGGGAGAAAGATGAATCTTTCTCTTGTAAATATTTACAGCCTTGGAAGCTATACAGGGTTATTATGATTTAGAACTGACTATGGCACTTACCAGCAACACCATATCATGATTGTAGTGTAATTACATGATGATACATGACCTTCTTTTTAAAAACTCATCAAATTGACCACCTGTAGTCAATTTTATTTTATGTAAATTGTTATTAGGTGCCCTGGAATTGATTCTGAGTCTTAGTGACCCAAAGCACAACAGAACAAAAGAGAAAAGAATAAGTAGATTATACCTTGATAAGCCTTATTTTAAATTTTTTATGAAAAGAGGGTATTGTGTTCTAATTTTGAAAATCTCTTATATGTCTGACTTAGATTTTTCAGACAGCTGGGTAATAATTTTTGATACAACACTAAAACTTGATTATGAGGCTCTTGTTTTCTGTTATGTTAAACTCCACTGATCTGTCTAGTACTTTGAATTAATTTATAACACCATCTGTTGGTTACTTGGAAATATTGATTCCTTAAGTTATTTAGCTCTTCTAAATGTTTGGAGCCCTGGTGTGGTACTGTAGGCTAATGCACTGGACTGCAAAGTCGGTTTGAACCACTTGGTCAGCAGTTAAAGTTTACCAGCCACTCCTCGGAAACCCTGTATAGGATCACTATGGGTCAGTACCAACTCGACACTTAACAACAACAGCAATAAATGTTTGTATATTAAGTAAAATGAAAAATAGCATTCCTTAGCGTTAATACCAATCTTACCAGAAAAGTTGGGAAGCTGTCAGTTTATACAAGTTATTAACAAATCTGAGTTTTTTCTTGAAATTTTTTATTTTCTTTGGCAACAAATACTGTGACTTATTTTCCTTGAAATGAGACTCATCTCATTCATTTTTTAAAAGAAACTGGGCCAAATAACCAAGTCTGAATAGCCATAATTTGTCTCTTATTCTTTGAAGTAAAAAGGGCTAGTTTTAGCTTACAGCTCAATCACAAATGCTTTCTCACGTATTCATTGTACGTTGGTATGCAGCAGAAATGCTGTAATCATACTTCCTATTTCATCACAGAGGTTATTGAAAGGACTCAAGTTTTTTATAAAATCAATAACTGTTCACTGCTTCACGAAGGATATTTTTAAGGGACACTTTGTGGTGTGCAGTGATTACTGATACAGTTTGGCGTCACTTCCTTAAGGTATGTTCCCAGCACTCTTCCCCACCATTGCTACTGTACTGTCTGTGCATAGGTTAACAGTCAAAGCCAAATAACTTTTTAGCATTATTATGAAAATCCATTCATGGTGACCCTGTATGGGGTTTATGAGGTAGATTAATTTATGAAAATTAGTTTGAAGCTTTGTTTTAATATTTGTGGTATGAGATTATTTTGAAACATGTTTTATGCATTTACGATTGCTAGATTAGTGAACTAAGGTACTGTGGTGATGCTGTGGGTTAGGCATTGGACTTGTAACAACCAAGTCGGCGATTCAAACTGACTAGCCACTTCTCAGAGAGAGGCTAGGCTGCGTGCTCAGATTTCCAGCATTGGAAGCCCTAGATAGGGTTGATGTGAGTCCAAATTGATTCCCTGGCAGTGAGGTGTTTTGTTGTTGTTGTTGTTGTTAGATTGGTAAATTGTAACCTCAATTACTTAAACCACGGTATTGTTGAGAGGCACAAACAGATGCCAAGGTTCCTGCTTTAAAACTGACAAGTTATTTTTTATTGAATAAAATAATATATAGTATTGTGATCTTGAGGTCAGCTTTAATTAACTCATGAAAACTACTACTTCAACCAAATAAAAAGCCTACTGCCATTGAATCAATTCTAATGAATAACAACCCTATATAGGGAAGTAGTAGTAAATTAAGATTGGTATTATTATAGTATCTTAAGATACAGTGACTGGGGGGTGCGGTTGTTAGAATGGGAATATAACAATGTTATAATGGGAAAGAAATATGAAGAATAATGGGGAGCTGGAATAGGTATCCTTTGTTTTTGTAGCCCTGTTACTACTATTCACCTTGGTTCTCTCTGATGTCTTAGAAATTAGCATGGTGTCTTTTGGGTTCACAGCCTGCCTCTCTAGTGGTGAATGTATTCAAGGAAACAGTGTCAGTCATGCTCTGTCAGAAGCACCTCTGGAGTGTGGAATACTTGTTAAGAATACTGTCTTTATGTTTTATTCTTGTGCATGGTAGTTTTTAACTTCGTTGCAAGTGATCCCTAAGAGTGCTGATTTTGAACAAGCTTGTGTACCAGTTGATAGTTTGTTAGTTGTGAATAGCTACCCTTTATTGTATTCCTTGCTTTACTAAGAAGATCTTTTGAATTTTAGGTAAAAAACATCAGAATGAATTTCAGCTTCTGGTAGATCAGGCCAAAAATGGATACAAGAAAACGTTTGGAACATCAAAAAAAAAAGTAACAAGAAAAGATGAATCTACAGAAAAACTGATACCTGTACACATGGGTAAGAGACTTTAATTAGAAGTAGAGATATGTTGGATTTCACTACTCACTTATCAAGTAAGATAAAATTAAAGGAATTTACTTCGGAGTTATTAGGTATTTGAAATGGGCAAGACTGTTTTGAGATAAATGTCATATTATGGTTGTTGAGTATAAACTAGGTTTATGACCCAAGGAAAGGTGATTGGGAGAATGTCTTGAAGAAAGAGTATCTAAAATCTGTCTTCCTTTTGGCTAATAAGAAATCATATGTTTCTTAGTTGTTTAAGCTTGAGGATGTTTATAGGTGTAGGATTTGTTGCTGAAGATCCTAAGATATCAATTCTAAAGACTGTTTTTTATTATAGAGTATAGGTGATTATTTTGGATGGAATGGTTGGCTAAAAATCTAGAACTCACAGCATGGTGAATGTAATTAATGTCACTAAAATGTACACTCAAAAAATGGCTTTAATGGTAATTCTTTTTTATATAGATTTTACCATAATATATATATATTTTTTAATCTAAAGCTAATATACTTGGTGTGCCAACACAAGGCACAGTCCTGCATTTTGATTTACTTAAAATTTTGAGATTAATATTCTATTTCAATTGCCTGAGTTTGGGACAGTGAATAAAAGGGAATCATAATAGGGAGAAAATGCACAGGGAACGATGTCACAGTTTAATAACTGCCATGTAGTGTAAGAACTGCCATTCCTTTTTTTTGGCCTAAATTTTGATGGTGCTGTTTGGTAGGGTACTACTGCCTCAGTGTATACTCATAGTCCTTGAACAGTTTGAATGTGTTCATGCAGTTGCTAAAGGCTATTCCTAGAAAGTAATTAAGCTCTTGAAAAAAATCTGTCTTTAGAAGCTACCATCAAGAGAACATTTTCACGGTGGTTAAATCTCTCTTGAATATGACTGATTACTTGTGTTCAGGGAGTCAGGTGCTATCTGTGTTTATGTTCAGAGGTGATTGCTGCTGATCGAATGCTGTGCATGAATGAGCATGTCTGTAAGGGTTGGGGAGTGTGAGAGAAGAGGACCGGCAGGTACTAACTTAAAAGGTGGGTTTTATGACACCCACAGCTAGTGTAATTTTTCCTCTTTAGCATAAACTTGCTTTAAACTGCCAACGTAAGTCATCAAGAGGTGTGTTCTCTAGAGTAAAAACTAAGTTTTTCTCTTGTATGTCTGTGGGTAGGTCTGATGTCCAGCCTAGTTTGGGCCTTTGAAGTCTTGCACTCTGTGACTTAGGGATGAAAGATAACTGGTTTTCAGTGCTTACTAATTGTTAAATACTGCTTTTCCGAAGAGGAAATGTATCATCTCAAAACTTTTAAAGAAGATAAGAAGAGAAAACTGTAGATGAAGAAAAGAGAAGGTTGTTTTAAGCTGAATCCCTGTTCCTCATTCCTGATCCTGATTGACTTCTCCTGGCCCACTGAGTAATACAGTTGCCCAGATTCCCTGAGTTCACTGTGGAATTGAATCCTCTTACCTTGCTTGTAGGCGCTATCGTGACTCAGTGGGTTACACATTAGACAGGTATCCAAAATGTTGTTGTGTCCAGCTATTCTACAGGAGAAAGATGAGGAAGCCTGTTTCCAAGGAAACCCTATTGTGCAGTTCTTTGTCCTGTAGAGTAGACATGAGTAAGAGTCGACTCCAGGGCAGTGGTTTGGTTTGGGGTATCATGATCCTGGGATCTGTTTACATCAGGAGATCCTTGAGATCTTGTCTGGTCATCCTGGTTAGCTCCCTGTTTCTCTGTCCTAGGGAAACATTACATGGTGCCATTTTGTTTTGGTAAGGATGACTCACTAATAGCCTGCCAACATCAGGAGATACGTATGGAGATTATACTCTTGTGATATATGCTGTTTCTTTTTTTCTTTGTTAGTAAAGGATCATGGAAGTTATGTAGTATAGTGTCTTTTTTTTTTTTTTTTAAGTTTTTATAGTTAATTGAATGATCGTTTACCTGAGGGAACATTAACCTAACAATCATCTGTTCATTGCAATGATTGCAGTCTCTGTGCATCATCATTCAACAGTATTTGCTTCTATTTCCTCTTTTTTGTTTTTGAGGGGGGATGTATACAGAAACACTCAGGAATATATAATAATTTAAACAACCAAAGGACACATTCTGCAAGCCTGCCTTCTTGCTACCAACACCTGGCTGCCAGCACACAGCCTTTCTCTTTCCATGAGTCTAGAGTCCTCAGCTGCTCTCTTTCTCCATGCTCTCAATTCTGTTTCCATCTCTGATGTTGCTGCTTCTCTGGATAGGGTCCCACATTCTGCTCTTGCTCTTCTCCCTTGATGGTCCTAGGGTTCGCTGTTCCTGGATTGTAAGATTAACTACTTCCCCCTTTAACTTCTACCTTTACAGTTGTGATTATTGCAATTAGTCATGATAACAGTTACTCACTATTGAATAATAAGAATCTTATCCCCAAGTCCTTTCACCAGACCCGTCTAGACAAAATGAAAACTTTTCAGTAGGGATTCTACCTCCCTCTGCACACTCTGAAACTAAACTCCCTCTTGAACACTTGTAAGCCAGTCACTTTGTGCCTGTATAGCTCCTCCTATTTTAGGTAGCCAATGTCTGAGTTGCCCATCCCTATCAAGCCAGTATACAGAAGAAATGGGATTGATCTTGGATGTGAAGACTCCTTCCCTCTCAGATGGTATTTTGATCTAGAGCCCTGGTGTGGCACTGTGGGTTAATGCGCCAGACTGCAAAGTCATTTGAACTGCAAGGTTAGTGGTTCAAGCTCACCCGCTGCTCCTCGGAAACCCTATACAGGATCGCTATGGGTCGGAATGACTCTACGGCACTTAACAACAACAACGATAACATCCATAAGTATAGATCAAGTTCATCAAATTGTAGCAATTTATACTTGTTTCCTTTTTTGGACATTCTAGTTTGTCTCCCTTCACTTCACATCAGCTGGGTGCTTTGCTTTCAGCTCCTGCCCTCTGTGGCTGTTTTTGTCCATAGCTTCAGGAGTCCACAGGTCGCACCACACTTCAGACCAACCAACCCCATCTCTTCTCTCTCTCATCTCCAGGTCGACAGGAGTCTATGGATCGTGGGTGAACTCAGCCCATATCTGCATTGCTGCCTTTCCCCCTCTTCCACTCACCAGGAGACCAACATGGTCACTAGCAAGCTTACATGCCTGCTCATGTGTTCCCTTTGAGTTTCAGTCTTGGAGGGAAATTTGTCCTGAAGGGACTTGATTGTTTACCTTGATGGCTCCCCAGCAAACAATTTGCTTGTTCTTGTAGTAGCCAATCAAACTGCCATTTTTTTGTTTTGGATTTTTCCTGCTGGTCTTTCTTTCAAGAAGTATCTTCTATTCCTCTAGCTATTCCGTACTGGTCTGCTTGTTCTTTCAATTAGGAATGTCCTACCTCAGTTGGTTCTGGATGGGGTTCAGGAGTTCATGTAAGGTCCTATAGACTATAAAGGCTCCGCAGGAAGCCTATTTCACTGGGAAAATTCTAGAATCCCTTTTAGGTATTCCAGTCAGTTATAGGCTGAAGATGGGCTTACAAGCTTTCTGTAATCATGTTTCCCGACGTTCCTTTCTATCCCACTCAAGTGTCTATTTTACAGTATTAGGCAAGGGAAACCAATATTCATAAGGCAGTTAAGTATCTTAGCATTATTTCCCCTCTTTTACCCATCTAGTCTGTGGCTATATACTGTTTTCCTGTAACAAAATTTGCAACTATTTCTGGAAAAATCTTAACTATATTGTCTTGGGAAAATTTTTTGAGGATTTCCCCTTAGTTTTTCTCATAAATTTTCTTTGCATAGCAAAACCTAGAAAATGACTTGAGTTTCCTTTATTTAAGGTCACTTAGGCCTGGTGTGGCACTGTGGGTTAATATGCTGGACTGTAAGGTCCATTTGAACTGCAAGGGTGGTGGTTCAAACTCACCATCCACTCCTCAGAAACCCTATATATGAGTTGGAACTGACTCAGTGGCACTTAACAACAGGTCTTAGTGTGGTGCAGCAGGATAAGCACTAGACCACAAGAACAGTGGTTCCAATTCACCAGCTGCTCTTTGGAACCCTATACAGAGTTGCTATGAGTCGGAACCGACTCGACGGCACTTAACAACAGCAATTCTATAAGCAACTGGTGAGTGATGTATGGGAGCTTTGCTTCTCTGTGTTGCAACTCAGGAAAAAGAGTGCCACACATGTTAAGTGTCTACCCAGCTCCTTAGTCTTTTTTTTTAATAAAACCTTTTATTGTGAGTTGAATGAAGGTTTACAGGCAAGACCATCAGTTTTATATTAAATAAATCATACACTTTGTTTCATCTCAATGGTTGTAATCCCCTCCATGCAACAACAGTTATCCCACTTCCTCCCTGTGATTCTTACTTCCATTCAACCCTCCTTCTCAACTGTGTCCTTAGGTCATTGTTGCCCTTTTGAGTTTGAATGATTGACCGGTCTATGGGGAGCACACCTTACTAGTGTTATTGTCCCTCCCCTATATTCCTGTCTACTGCTTGGCTGAAAATTGGACTACGAGGGTGACTTCCTTTCCAGACTTAAAGGGTATATGAGGGCCATAGTCTTTGGTTCCTTCAACCTCCTTCTGACCAGTAAATTAAAAAAAAATAATAATTTTGTGTTTTGCTCCACATTTTTCCCACTCTATCCAGGACCCTCTAATGTGATCCTTTTCAGAGCAGTTGACCCAGCTCCTGAATCTTAAGGATGGCACAATTAAAAATTCTAGCAAAAACCTAGATAATTCAATCAGATGATACCAAGCACTCGACTACAAGTTCGCTTTGAACTATAAGGTCGGTGGTTCAGACTCACCAGCCTCTCCTTGGAGATGCTGTACAGGGTCTCTATGAATCAATACCGGCTTGATGGCACTTAACAACAACAATAACATTGTAGTTTTTATTCTTACTCTCTGGCTATCACTAGAGTTTTAGAATCAATTTTACATATATGTTAATTTTACTAAGTATTGTTAAGTGCTATCAAGTTGGTTCTGACACACAGTAACCCTGTATAGGGTTTCCAAGGAATGACTGGTGGGTTTAAATCGACCTTACGGTTAGCAGTCTGGCACTTATCCTACAGTGCCACACCAGGATTCCATTTTATTCAGTGCAAGTAGCAATATCAAATACTATGCAAATTATATACCGAGGTTGTAGATTTTAAAGTACTGTAAACCATTTCTTCTGTTTATTTTTTTCACTTCTTTTTTTTCCTTTTTAGGACAAAAAGATAAAGAAAAGAAGTCCTCAGACAAGACCTCAGTAACAAACCGTTTCCCTCCATCTGAGCTGAACTTCCCAGGGCACTTGGAGCCCTGTAGGTCAGATGATTCTTCCAGTTCTACGGCTATTCAAGAAGCTCTTTCTCCACAAGAATCAGATTCGTGCAATAGGTAAGGCAGTTGTTGATTATTTTGCATCTTTGCCTATTTTCTATGCACTTTAACCTGAAAGCAGCTTGGAAGCGTGATGCAGCTTCCAGTCTCCTTCTAAGGCAGGATGGAGGACATGTGCCACCCCCATGGGTGACTATGTTTTTCACTCTATAGCATTTATACATATACAGGTATTTTTCCTAGAATTGGAAAAGCAAGCATGATTGGCAGTGGAATTTTTGAGTGAAGGAGATGACTAGAAAGACATCACACAGGAGAGTAAAAAAAAAAAAAAAAACAGGAAGATTTAACTGGTGACTAGTTGGGGAAGCTTTTAAAATTAGGAGTTTCGGGGTTGAGTCATTTTTCCATATGATTTTTTAGAACATTTTTTTAAAGATGTAATAGTTACATCTGATGAAATCACCATCTGTCAATATGTATATTCCACTTTATAGTCTATCATTTGACTTTCTGTCACAAACATTACCCGTGCTCCTACCTCATCTGACTCTTGTTCCTAATGGGTGCAATGCACTCTGGTGTTTTTGCACCATAATTGACCAGGATCTTTACTCATTGTTAGGTGGCTCCATTTCCCCCGGTGGTCTGCTATTTGTTGAATGCTGTGGTAAGGTTCTTAATGCATAGAGCCTTTGGCTTCTATTGAAATAGTTCTTTAGCTTTAATGTCATTTGACCATGGTAGGTGTTCTCATTGCTTTCTGAATGAAGTATACCAATTCTACGTGGTATAACAACAGCATACAAATGTGAGTATATCTTAGAAGGAATTTAATTTAAAATTTTAAAAATTGGTGACAATGCCCTAGCATGATAGATTACATCTAATCTGAAACATCAAATGAAGAAACAATTTTTTAGAAAAGAAATGTACCCAGAGTCCTTCTGCTTTCCTGGGGTCCTTGGAAAAGTCTCAAATCATTCAGAACCAAGTATAAGTCTTTCCACCCCATCCAGGTTTTCAACGTCAAAAGCATGTTGTATTTCATATTGGCTGAGGGGAACGCGCTGAGTTTTCCCCTTGTGTGATCTCAGGTTTGCCAGAGTATGAGCTACTGCCTAGTCATTTTAGACTCGGCCACTCCTGCAAGACCAGCAGGCTGTTTGTTTTTGACACAAGTCTTCTAGGGATACCCAAACCAAAAACTCATGGCTGTCGAGTTGATTTTAACCCTTACAGGGTTTCCAAGGCTTCATTGAAACAAACTGCTACATCTTTCTCCAACAGTACGGCATGTGGGTTTGAACTACTGGCCTTTTGGTTTGCAGGCAAGTGCTTAACAACCACACCACCATGGGTCCTTCTAGGAATTGTTGTTAAGTGTTGTCGAGTCAGTTCCACCTCATAGCAACCCTGTATAGGGTTTCTGAGGAGCAGCTGGTGGGTTTGAACCTCCAACCTGGCAGTCCAGTGCTTATCCTACAGTGCCACACTTGGACTCCCCTTCTAGGAATTGTTGTTGTTAAGTGCCATAGAGTCGGTTCCAACCCATAGCGAACCTGTATGAGTTTCTGAGGAGCAGCTGGTGAGCTTGAACCGCCAACCTTGCAGTTCAAATGGCTTTGCAGTCTGGCGCATTAACCCACAGCGCCACACCAGGACTCCCTTCTAGGAATACTAGGGTGCAAATGGAGGAAAACCAGAGTCAAAGGGAGTAAGAGTTTTAACTATAGTTATGGGATACCTGGATATGTTTCTATGGCAGAGTGAAGCAGAAATTTATGTGAGTTTGGAGTGGGAATGATGGAGGGAACTGAAAGGAGGAAAACATGATAGGAAGATGTTTATTGATCTGGTAATGGAATGATGGTAAAGAAGATGAATCTGATGGAGGTCTTGGGTTCATATCACTTCCTGACATAACTGAACTGTGAGGTTATTAGGAACGAAGGTGGCATTGCTTTGATGGTGTACATTGACACAGAAAGTAGGAGAGTAAACAGCAGACAGTCCGTGGGTTTCATTGAAAGGAAATGTGACTGAGGGGAAAATAGAGTAAGCCTTATTGGGCAATTTAGCCCAAATGATGTCTATTGTAGCTCTTCACTCAGCAAAAGAGTTGAGTAACTCTAAATTTATCACCAGTCCCCTACTATTCCTGCTGCCATTTTGGGATCTCCTAATTCCTACACTTAAATCCTTAGGGATTAGTCTTTCTACTGACTGAGATCCTGAGTAATATTATCAGATAGTTTCTTAGTCCATCTGTAGTAATTTCCTCTTGGTAAAGGTCTTTTAGGGTCTTCTTTCTGACACATTTTGAAAAGAAAATTTTGTTGTTAAGTGTCATCTAGCTGATTCCAACTCATAGTGACACTCTATAGCGGGGTTGGAGAATGACAAGGCCCTTGAAATCCTTTGGTCTGGCTCTGCCAAGGCAACCACGGGCAGGACTTGAAATTCAGCAAATCCAGGAGCTTTTTACATAGCAACATAAATTTATATTAAGTGAATCACAATAATAACGTAAATTTTGAAGGACAAGCAAGGAATGTCCACAACGAGATACACATGAGTACATGATGGGACAGACACATATGCTTCTTGTCGGCTGCCCTCAGCCCATCTGCCTATATTTCAGTGACGTAGAGGAGTGGCAGTGGCAGGCAGGCTGGGAGTGTACATGTTGTGAAAACGTTAACACATGGTGATGAAACTGCAGCGATCCAGTGATGATGAGATAGATTGATGAGATGATTCCAGATGATGTTGATGACTTTACCTTCCGTGATTGACGATGATGTTGTCAACAAAGGTGAAAATTCCAGTACTATCTATATCCACACATCCATGATCGGCAATACTTGCAAAAACAGAATATCAGATGAAGATTAAGGAAAGGCCTTAAGAGTTGATAATACACAAGAAGTGACTGGCTTACAAGCTTTCAAGAGGGAACCTAGATTCAGAGGGTGTGAAGGAAGGTAGACTCTCCACTGAGTAGTATACAATCTGTCTAGGCAGGGCCGATGAAATGAAATGTGGATGGGTCTCTTGTGATACAATAGTAAATATTGTTATCAGGTCTGCTTATGAGGGTTGGAAATGTAAAGGCAGACATTTTGTAGCAAGGAGGGAGGGGAGTGATTAACTTTTCAGCCTAGGAGCAGAGGTCCCTGGGACCATCAAGGGAGAACAGCGGAGAGTGGGACCCTACCCAGAGAAGCAGTGATGCCTGAGATGGAGGCACAGACGATGACGTGGAGAGATGGAGCAGTTGGAGGACTTTAGACACAGAGAGGGAGAGGGGCTGTGTACTGACGACTGGAGGGCAGCCTTGTAGTATATACCCTTTGGTTGGTTGATGATGCGTAGAGGGGATTGTAACCATAGCAATGAAACAATATACAATAGAATGAATGTAAAACTAATGTTCTCCCATGTAAACTATCACATAATTCACAATAAAACATTAAACAACAAAAAAAAAGAGTTGATAATACAAACAACGAGATATCTCATACCAGCAATAACAGTGAAGCTCAAAACAATGTTGTTGTTGTTATGTGCCGTGGAGTCGGTTCCGACTCATAGTGACCCTGCACAGGGTTTCCGAGGCTGTTCATCTTTACGGAAGCAGAACGCCTCATCTTTCTCCCGCGGAGCAGCTGGTAGTTTCGAACTGCTGACCTTGCGGTTTGCAGCCCGATTCGTAACCACTACGCTACCAGAGCTCAAAACAATAGAGGACAATAAATGCTGGTGAGGATGCGGAGAGACTGGGACCTTCCTACGTTGCTGGTGGGATTGAAAGATGGTCCAACCACTCTGGAAAACAGTATGACGTTTCTTCAGAAAATTGGAAATAGAAATACCTTATGATCCAGCAATCCCTCTACTTGGTATATATCCACAAGAAATACGAGCCATAATGTGAGTGGATATATGCACACCAATGTTCATAGCAGCACTATTTACAATAGCAAAAAGATGGAGACAACCTAAGTGCCCATCGATTGAAGAATGAATAAAGAAACTTGGTACATACACAAAATGAATTATTATGCTACCTTGAAGAATAACATGGAACCTGCAAGCTACCGTGTAACATGGATGAACCTTGAGGACATTATGTTGAGTGAAATTAGTCAGTCACAAAAGAAGAAATATTATATAGGACCATTATTGTAAAAGCTTAAGAAAAAGTACCCACACTAAAAAGGGGAAAAAAAAAAATCTTTGTTGGTTATTGGGGTGTAGGGGGTGAGATGAGGGGAGGGAGGAGAAGGTGGAGCCCAGGCTAGGGAGTAGACACAGGATAGTTTGGGTGCTGGGGGGTAGAGGGCAGTACACAAGAAGGAGGAGGGAAATGGAAGAACAAGGTGGATGGGAGAACATTTAGGCAAGTTTGCATGGTCTAAGTGGGACAGAGGTAAATAGTGACGTATGCTCAACCTTGGAACAACTGGGCTCTGTGATACAGGGATTGAGACATGGTTTAAAAGGATAAAAGAGGGAATAATGGTCAGACCCGACTCGATGGCACTCAACAACAACAACAACAATGTTAAGATGCTTGCCGGTCTTTTGAATCTTTGCATACCTCTGGAAGTTCTCTATCAATGTACTATTGTAGCCATTTTTGTATTATTTTTAGCAAAATTCTACTTGCATGCTATGTTAATGATATTGTCAGATGATTTTTGTATTCTGTTGTGCCACCTCCTTTTGAATGGAGAGAAATAATGGATCTCTTCCAATCAGTTGGCTAGATAGTTGGTCTTCCCAATTTCTTGGCATAGACGAGTGAGTGCCTTCAGTGCTACATCAGTTTGTTGAAAGATTTCAGTGTATATTCCATCAATTCCCTGTACCTTGTTCTTTGCCAATGCCTTCAATGCACCTTGGACCTCCTCCTTCAGTATCATTGGCTCTTGATCCTATGCTACCTCTTAAAATGGTTGATCATCGACCATTTATTTTTGATAT